GGTCAATGACATGGGCCGGTGGGTCTGCTTTTGCTTTGCTATTGTGCTGTTCTCAGGTGAAGCCAAGGGTGTGTGGAGACAGCACGCAGGCTACGGGGGCCTTGTGGGTGCCAGTCCCACATAGCTGTGCGAGCCATTCTCCCCGACAGCTGCCTCTGCTGGTGGGCGCTCCTGTGACCTCATCCACCGGGCCACCATTTTCATGCTACTTGTCACACACGAGGCCTTCTATGCTGTTTCTGCACACCCGGCTTCTACAGCCTTTCAGCCCTGGCCGTTGGCCTCCACTTGGGAACATGCCACACAGGGCTGCTCCATCACCCTTTGCACATGCCCTGCCTCAAGTACCATCCAGTCCTGCCTGTGCTTGCAGGTGCTCTCTGCAGAACTCAGCCTCCAAGTGCCCTGTGTCAGCCTCTGTGTGTGACAGCCTTTGTTTGTAAACACCTGACAGTAAACTGTTCTGCGTCAACACTTTGGCAAATGCTAGTCACGCGTCCATCAGACACCACCCTCTATGTCTGCCAGTGTGTCATGCTGTGATGGCTGGCATGCTGCTGTGATGCTGGAAGCTCTGCATTCATAGTGAACATGTTTCAGTGGAGCTGAGACTTGGAAGAAAGGCTTGGTAATCTGCTTCAAAAAAATAGTTGATGACAACAGAATATTGTTCAATCTAGTGGTAAGAAAAGAACTCCCAGACTGGAAAGGACACAGTGGTCCTGTCAGGGGGTTTCTAGGCTTACCAGTGGTCATCAAGAGAGTGCATATCAAGAGGGAACTGTCTATTCTTTCTCCCAAGGAGAAGCTGATGGATTCGAACCATGTTTCACACAGTAGACAGCACATTCCTTATCACTAAGCCACCAGAACTTTCTGCACACTTGAAAGATGAGAGCATAGAGTAAACATAATTTGACGCACACTAGGAAGTGCAACAACCTGTGGTGGTTAGCACGCTGGCCCCCCAAAGATCTCTGAGGTCTCCTTTACATCAAAAGTTGTCAACTGCACTGGTTTTTAACACATTTACAAGGGAGCTCTGGTGGATTAGTGGTTAGAAGCTGTGCTGTAATCCCAAAACCACAGAGTTTAAATCCACCAGCTGCTCTGAAGAATGAGCAGTCTCCTCCCATGAGATTTACTGCCTCCTAAAACCCGCTGGAGGGTCAGCTGTGAGAAGGCTCTGACTTGATGCCACACAACATGTATATATCCGTGATAGTGTCACCCCAAAATGAACCCCCAGTCCTTTGCCATCCTTTCCTCCCTGATTTGGTTTGTCACAGAGAGTAGTTAGCATTTTCTGAGTTTTCTGGAGTTGGAACTATATACTCTCTGGCTGTGATAGCAGTCCTCTGTCAGCTGAGGGGACAATGGTAAGGATGAATGGCCTGGTCAGAGCCCTCAGGAGACACACCTGGAAATGGGCACATTTCATTGCTTAGTGGGGAATCCCTCTGTAGCCACCATGCCTGCAGTCTCCCAGCAACATGGAAAAGGAAGCCAGCCCAGGTATGATGCTCCATAACCAAGAGGTATGTATGTCAAAATATCTCTGCCCAAGGTGCTATCAATTGTCAGAGCAGCTGGACAGTCACTTCAAGGGACCACACTCTTTTAAGTACTTAAGGTCCAATATCTCGCCGAGTAGCCACGCTTGCTTCTCATAGGAAGCTGAGCAATCCAACAGCCTCATCGGCTGGTTTTGCCGTGGCCTGCAAAGAGGTCGGCGTGGGGGTTACAGGATCCCACACTTTAATGAGCGGAGCGAAAGGGAACAGGAAAGATCTGGTGTGAAAAACAATGTGCACGAACTTTGAAAGTGAACCAGGATAAAATAAAGATTTTAAATTTTTTTTAAGAGATGAGGGTGATTATCTGCAAAGATCTTATTCAGTGTTATTTGCGTATTTTCTTTTAAAGGCGAATTCTAGAAAAGCCTGTTCTCTCTAATCCCAAATAAAACAAAATGTCGAGGGGCAATCTTCCCCTTTTACCAGTCAGATCCGATTTGACCGTACACAAACAAAAAAAAATTTTTTTTTTAAAAAAGCAAAATGTGCCCAAATGCCAGCCATGCTGAGCCCTGGCAAGCAGCGTAAAACTTCCGAGGTGGGCTGCTCAGAACACAGCCTACTTACTACTGGCGGCGTGGTGGTCGCAAAGCCTTGGGAAATGCAGAATCTGTTGTGCCCTGAGCCCCTGACAGCGAAGCAGCATCCTTTTAAGCTGGCGAGGGCATGCGCGCTTTCACGCCCAAGGGCACTGTCCCTTTCAGGAGCTGGATTTGTGCCCTATAGAGACCCTTTTTGCAATAGAGGCTTAGATCCGAGCTAAAGCTCCCGTAGAGAAAAAGTGAGCGGGAAGCTGATCGCCACAAGGCGGACTGAACGTGACCCTGCAGGGAGGAGCCAGGGGCGGGTGGAGCAGCGGCTCTGGTCGACAAGGGCCCAGTGCTAGACTGTGTCTACCCCCCACGCACCCAATCAGAAGTAAATCTGAACTTCAGCCTGTCCTTGTGCACATGGCCCCTTGCAGACCGCTTGCGACACGGAAACGTGGACGGATGCAGGTGCCTGACACGTGTTAGCTCCCGTCCTAAGGGGTGGGGGCACGTGGAGGGGCGGGATCACCCAGTGCGCACACGCGGGGGGTTTGCGTTGGGGAATATCCGCTGGTGGCACGTGGCGCGGCGTGCGTACCCAGTGCGCAGCCGCAGGGAGGGTGGCGGGAGCTCTGTCGGCGCATGCGCACGTTTGTGTACCTACTTGTTGGCGGACGCCTGGTGGCCTCAGGCTTCGAGGGCTTCCCTCCCGAGGCTGCTGTGCGGGTAAGGCCCAGGCCTAGTGCCCTAGGCAAGACTTCGGGCGCATGGGGGGACCACGTGTGGCCATGCAGCACTGCCGGACCTCTGTGAGACTTGTACTCCAGGAGGAGGAGAGCTTGTGGGCCTTTTCCTGGCTGAGGCCCATCTGGGGGGATGTGCCCCAGCTCGGGGCAGGGGAGTGCACGAGCAAGGAGGTGCCCCCCCCCGGGCTGGAGGGGACGCCTCAGGAGGCTGTTTTGTGGATCAGGCGCGGCCGAGGCACCCTGAACAGGAGTTAGGGTGCAGGGGAACCCTTCCAGCTGCGCACCCTGCTCCTAGGGGAGGCTTGTTCTGTGCGCTTGTGTGAAGCACATGCGGGTGCAGGAGTGAAAAAACGGAAGGGGCTCGGCTGGATGGGCTGGGGCTGCAGCGGCTGAGACATAGGGCAACATGGTGGGGAATGCAGAGTACTGGGATAAGGCTGTGGCGATGTGTGCTGGGGGCATGGAACTACGGGGTAAAAGTGTGGGGATGCCTGGGGGGTGGCAGCATGGTTGCAGGGACCCTGGAGGGGATGTGTGCAGGGGCAAGACTTAGGTGTGCTGAGCAGCACCCAGCCGCCGGGTGGGGGCGCCGTCCCTCCACTCACGGAGGCTTCGTCCTCATGTGGGCTCCGAGGGCTGGTTCTCCACCCTCACCTGCAGGAAGGAGAAGGGGTTCCGGACGTGGGAGGTGACGCCAAAGGGCAGGCAACGGGCGATGAGGATGAGTAGGGCCCAAGGAAGTGGGGGTGTCTGGACAACTCGGAGGAGGGTGCGGTATAGGTCCGAATAGGACATGGGGGACTAGGTGAGGCCTGGCATGGAGTGGGTTTAAGGCTAGGGTACTAGCGTTCCCACAGGAGACCCTCCATCCAACAGCAGCAGTTTTTATTTTTGTTGATGTTGTTGTGTACCATCGAATTGGATCCGACTGGCACAGGAGGAGATGGCCCCTCCTTCTCCTCCAGTGGAGCATCTGGTGGATTTGAACTGAGTGCCTTCAGGATTCAGCGCAGCTTCTTGCCACTTGGCCACCAGAACTCCCTGGTTTAGCAGTTTTATACCCCTACACTCAGGATTCTTCTAGATGCTTCTGCCCAGGAGAAAAGTAAAGCATTTGAACCCAGTTGAGTTTGCTTCCTGGCTCCCCCAAATGGTTCAAAGTAGAATTGCTCCTCATGAATTTGAAAATGGCTGCTTTTCTGGCTATTGATTCCCAGTCTTTTCTTTCGAGGCACTTTTTGGGTCGGACTTGTACCACCAGATTTGTGTTGGTGGCTGGTTCATGTCCATTAACCAGGGACTTTTCTAAGACCTGGTGTTTGCATGACCTCAGCGAGGGTTTGTGGGGTTGGGGCTAGAACCATCACTTAGTCCCTCTCTGGCCTTGGACAGATCCAGCACGCAGCTTTACATCTGTAGGACAGGAACTGCTGCCTAGGACTCAGTGTCTGCCTGCCTCCGAGCCAGGTGAGTCACTGGTGTACCGGGGGCTGGAGTAGGGGGACCACCACCACCTAGTGCAGCAGGAGTGATGCAGCTAGGGTGTCAGTCAACTACTCATCCCTGAGGGCCCTCCTCTCCCCTTGTTGCTATGATGCTTCATTGGTCCAGGGCCAGTGACATCACCTGTTGCTCCTCAAGGGCCTTGCCCTCACCATGTGACACTCCGCTGCAACAGAAACCCCTGGTCCACACTGTTCACTGTATCCATGGCAACGTACAGCTTGTCACCGCTTCTCACACCCACCAGCCTCATTGCGTTTCTCAGGGCTCCAGCCATCTTTCTCAGTTGGCAGATATTTGCTGACAGAAGCCCAGTACCTTGGGCGACCAGCTCGAACTGCTTCCTTGCCTGGGTACTCTTAACAGTGCCTCAACCATCCTGACCGTGGCTTTTCCTCTACAGGTACCTACAGCATTGGCATTCTCAGGTACTGAGGAGTGACACACAACGGGAGAAGGTCAGCAGATGGGGTTGTGGCAGGGGAGCTGGGCCTTGGGACCCCTGGGAAACAGGAGCCAAGCCCTTGCATGTGGGACGGGGCAGGCAGGAGCTAATGAGGCCTCTTGTTTGGATTCACAGGCTCTGTCTTCACTCCTGCATTGGTCTGATTCTGCTGAGCCCTTGTCTTGGTTCAGTGCTAGCCATGGCTGTTACCCTGCTTGAAGATTGGAGCAAGGGGATGGACCTTGACCCCAGGAAAGCCCTGCTGATTGTGGGCATCCCGGTCGAGTGCACGGAGGCTGAGATTAAGGAGACAGTGAAGGCAGGCCTGCAGGCCGTGTGCTCCTACAAAGTGGTGGGCAGAATGTTTAGAAGGGAAGACAGTGCCAAGGCTGTCTTCCTTGAGCTGGTGGAGCCTGTTAACTACACCACAATGCCCAGCCACATCCTGGGCAGAGGAGGCACCTGGGAGGTGGTGGTGGAACCACGCAACCCAGATGATGAGTTCCTCAGCAAACTGAACTACTTCCTAAAAGATGAAGGCCGACGCATGGTGGACGTGGCCAAAACCCTGGGCTATGGCGGCTCTCCAGGTGCTGCCTCTGAGGGCAGGGAGCCTGAAGCTTTGGGCTCAGGGGCGGCCCCAGGTTTGCAGCCTCTGAAGGAAAGCATGTGGTACCGAAAACTCTCTTTGTTTTCGGGCAATGCTTTCTTGGCACCTGACGAGGAGACCTTTGAGGTCTGGATAGAGCAAGTCACTGAAATGGTGCAGCTCTGGCAGGTGTCCGAGGTAGAGAAGCGCCGGCGGCTGCTGGAGAGCCTGCGTGGCCCTGCACTGTCCATCATGCGCGTGCTGCGTGCCAACAACGATGCCATTACAGTGGAGGAGTGTCTGGACGCCCTGGTGCAGATCTTTGGCAGCAAGGAGGACAGCCGCACCTCCCAGTTCCGCTTCCTGCAGGCCTGCCAGAAGGCTGGGGAGAAGGTCTCGGCCTTCCTGCTCCGCTTGGAGCCCCTACTGCAGAAGGCTGTGCGCCACAGCCCCATGTCAGCACGCAACGCTGACAGCATCCGCCTGAAGCACATCCTGACTCGGGCCTCCATGACCACCGCGCTGCGCGGCAAGTTGGACATCCTCAACCAGCGGGGCTGTCCCCCCACCTTCCTGGAGTTGATGAAGCTCATCCGAGATGAGGAGGAGTGGGAGGTCACCATGGCAGTGACCAGGGAGAAGCTGAAGCACTCAGGAAAGAGCCACAAGGGTTCGAGCAGGCAGGTGAATTTGGAAATCCACGATCCTGCACCCCAGGCCCCCATGCTCACTGGGACTCTAGTAGAGAATAGCACCCAGACCTCCCAAGAAGACACTTCCCTGGCACTCAAGCGCAGGCGCCTATCAGACCCCAAAGTCAGCATGGATGACGGGCAGCCCCTGCATCTCAGGCCAGAGCAGCAGCCGGGAAACGGAGTCAGGGCTGGGGCCGTGAGCCACCTCAAGCCCTGAACACCATAGGCTCACAAGACCAAGGGAGTCCACAGAGCAGGCAGCAGAGTGGGGAGTGGGGGAGGCGTGGGTACAGAGCAGGGGGCAGCACACGAGCCATGACCAGGCCCCCTGGCCCATGGCCAGCAGGACAAGCCTGCACTGACCAGAACAGGGCACAGAAGAGGAGGAGGAGCCAGAGACCCTTGGCCAGGGAAAAGGCTGGAGCGAAGGATAGGGTACCTGGCATCTGGACGAAATGCTCAGAAATGGGACTCAGCCCCTCTGTGAGAATACCCCCTAACACCCACCTTGAGAGCTCTGAGCTGGGGATGATCACTGGCCGTCAGGAGGTGGGGTCTCTACAGGAGCCAGCCTTCAGGCCACCCAGGCCGGAAGGAGATGAGCATAGCCAAGATGGGACACCCCGGAGGGGAAGTCGCAGGGTGCAGCCCATAATCAGGATCCTCTACACCACCCTAGGAGAGCCCCAGGAGGGCAGCACTCTGGAGCCCCTGCGCCCCTGAGGGCGTTCACCCCCGGACCCCACTGGAGCCAACATCTGCAAGCAAGTGACCTCCGGGGGGCTTCCAGCCTGGGGGTGTGGGTGCAGCTGGATGGGGAGGGGACTTGGATTGCACACGTCTTTGTGCAGGGCCTCTGAGGACAGGAACAGACAGCTGAGACCCAGTCAGCCAGACCTCGTGGCCTCACCACGCAGCCCACAACCGCACCACTGCTATGATCAGGCAGACTACGTGGAGGGAACTCCTATAATGACCCTTGCGCTGGGCTGCTTGCTGCCCACACGCCTTCTGCCTGCATATCTCTGTAGACTCTTAGTTGTGCATTCTGACCAACTGTCCCTCTTGTGTATGTCCTCACCCAAACACTTCTTCACGGGAAAGCCCAGCCCAGTCTGTGAAGACAGTGGGGAGGCTGGATGCAGGAGGGACGGCCCTCGTCCTGAGTGAGACCTGGACGGCAGGGTGGACCTTGGACTGGGTGGGCTCCAGGGAGCCCTTGGGGACTGTTGGAAGCTCCACCCCAGCTATTTGTGACTCATTTTCTTGACATGGTGATGCTACTTGCTATGTTTTTCGGTGTCATTCTGTCCTTGTCCAGTGGGACTAGAAGGCAGGCTCCACCCTGGTGTGGGGTCTGCAGAGGAGTCCCATCAAATATGTAGGCTTTGCCAAGGTTGTTGTTATCAAAGACTCAGATCCTGGGCCCCAAGGGAAAAAGACGGAGTGGGGCAGCTTAGAGGAGGGAGGATGGGGTCTCTGAGGGTGACTGTGTGGCGCCTTTGCTGGGGCTCCATTCTTCCAACAGTTGTAGTTTTGTGTTTCTGTTGAATAAATCTCTTTGAGTGTTTCTGGGAGTCTGGTCTCTGTCCCTGCTGTGGGCGCCCCAGGGGAGGGGAAGGTGAGGGGACCGTGGAGGGCACCTATCAGGATTCACCCGTGCCGAGGTACCACCGACAGAAGCCAGCTGGCTGTCTGATGCCGACTGCCGGCAGGACAGGACAAGCTTCCTCGTCGCCGCTGGACACAAGGAGAGCCGCCTGGTGACCGAGTCCTGGCCCGGTGGAGGGGGCAGGAGGGCGACTTTCTCACCATGTCTGCACAGGTCCTTCGGAGGACTTGGCACCAAGCAGGGGTGTCCCTGGAGAGCCTTCAGGGGGCCAACGTGAGCAGCCCTGGGTGCAGGGCCCAGCCATCCCCAGGAGGCCCGCCCTCAGCATGGTGGCCTCCGGGAGGGTCAGGAGGTGGGGGTCAGTCTGTGGTGAGAGATGGGAGCTGGACCGGCCGTGGTTTCTGTCCTCAAGCAGCCCTGGACCCCTTCTCAGGGGACAGCAGTGCACATCTGGGTGAGGAAGCCTGGACATGCAGAGGGCAGCACAGGACATAGGAAGTGGGGGTCCGTGGGCAGGTCTGCAGGCTCCAGGGTTCCAGGGCCTTGGCCTGGTGTTCTCAGGACACGTGAAGGATGTGACTGAGATGGTCCGTGCCACCTGCTCAGGTCCCAAACCCCCTGAGGACACGGAGCTTGCCTTGGGAGCGGGAGAGGAGGACGGGGCAGAGAGGGCCCCCTGAACACCCCTGTGGCCACCAAGGTCTGAGTAGCTCCTGGCTTGTCCCTTTGTTAGGGACCACTGTGTGTGGTGATTCCCCACCACAGGACGGTGTGTGTGTGTGTGGATGTGATTGTCTCTGTGTCCTGCAAGGGGACAGTGAGGAGGTCAAGCTTGGGAAATAAGGCCTGTAGTTAGAGCCCAGTCTCAGTCCCGATGCCCAGCTGCCCGCTCTGGCTCTAGGGCCTTTCC